AAGACTTAAAAAAGAACAATTAAACTAGGCTTTTAAATATAGTAGTGAGATAAATATTGTTTGCAGTGTACAAATAATGCAATCTATCTTACAAGACAGACATGTGAGTAACTGCTGCTACCCATTTCCCCAGTGAAATAAATTCCATTTACGCATCACAATGTTGTGCTCCTCAACTCATTTTTTTTTCTACCATTTCACTATCTAACCAATCAACATGAATGTGCAGAAAAAAAATTTCCCTTCAAAGTAAGTCATGCACACAAACAGCCCTATTTGAAAGACCTAGAGGACAATTAGTTCCTCTGGCTATATTCCTGTTTAAAAAGGTGCAGAGAGGAGCATATTATATTCAGCAGCATGTATAAAATTGCAAAACAGTGTATTTTATTTAATCTTGAGACACGTTAGGGATTTGCAGGTAAAAATATACTAACTATATTAATGTATAAACTTAAATCTGCTGTTTCAATTGGTATCATATAAAAAAATACATTTTTCCATTTAAGCCAGAAGCCATGTACAAATTTCTCAAAGATGCATTTTTATCTCAGTAATATATCTTTTTTGATTAATCAAAAGACAGAAAAAGTGCTTTGAAATTCTCTCAGTATTCTAAGGAGCAGTTCTATTCAGAAAATTAATTGACGATAATTATTTTTTAATGATAGCATTGAATAAACTCCATTTACTTCGCTCACTAAAATCTGAAGTGTTTGCATATATTCGCATTGCACTTTGCACAAAAGATCCGTCAGGGTTTGGCTTTAATTTCATACTGACAGAATCATCGAATCATCTAGGAAAAGACATTTGAGATCATCAAGTCCAGCCATTAACCTGACCTCTTATATCCAGTCACGAAACTACTTCCCTTATTGCCACAGCAGCACATCTTTAAAACACTTCCAGGAATGGCAGCCTCACCACCTGCCTTAGCAAGCCTTGAAATGTCTAACTGCCCTCTCTGTGCATAAGTTCTTCCGAACATACAATCTAAACCCCCGCTAGTGCAACTTTTCACCTAGAAAAGAGACCAAAATCACTTGCTGTTACCTCCTTTCAGGTAACTATAGAGAGTAATGAGGTTTCCCCTCAGCCTCTTCTTCTCCAGACTAAACAATGCCTGTTCCTTCTGTTGGAACATGAAGCAAGATGGAGAATACTCTGGAAAAATAACAGAACTTTAAATACATATACCAAAAAGAGAGATGGTAACCACTTAACCAGGATCAGCGGTATTTGATTTAGTCTATCTGGTTGTTATTTTATATATTGTTTTCTGTGACATATACAGAGACTGAGTAAGGCATTACACAGATTACTGTAATTAATGGCAATGTTACGTTCTGTAAAAAGTAAACTGGAGCAATGATGTTGCATGTCCTATTGACTGTCTAGAGAAGAGAAATCTTATGGAGAGATCTTGACAAATTAGAGGGCTGGGCAATGACCAGCCATATGAAGTTTAGCAAGGGCAAATGCTGGATTCTGCACCTGGAATGGGGTGAATCTTAATCTACATACATGGAATGGAATGTGGATGTTCTGGATGAAGCTGAGTTGCATTTAAGTCAGTATGCCCTGGCAGACCAAAGGGCTAGCAGTACCCTGGGGTGCATTGGGCCAACTCTGCCAGCTGGGAGGTAAGAGGGGTTTTCCCACTCTTTGCTGGGTCACATCACCTCTCACCATATGTTCTTTGGATGCTATGTGGGAAGGATAAAAAACTATAGGGAGTGTCCAAAGGACTATGACTGTTGTATGAGTTATATGAGAAGCAGCTGAGCCCCCTGGGTTTGCTCAACCGGGAGCAGAGAAGGCTGAGGGGAGGTGACACACAGCTGAGACACTGTGACACAGTGAGAGGAGCAAAAGGGGCGGTGCTGACCTCTGCTCTATGGTGAATATGCTAAAAGACCATGAAGGGAAACAGATATTTGCACGGGATATATGAATTATTTTCTTCTGTTATCAGAGGTTAATCCGAAAAAAGAAAAAAAGAAAACCTAAAAAAAAATCCGCTACAGCTGATTACCTTATGTGCATGGCAAGAATTGTCCTTAAATATCTCAGTTCACTGTTCAGATTTAGATTGAATATTTGTCTACTTATTTATCTGTTTTGAGTTTTGAAGTAGTTTTCATTCGATGATTTTATTTCTTTCATAGCAAATGTGCAAGAATGAATCCTGTTTTAGGGCTGCATGCCTAAAACTGAGATTGTTCAAGGACTGGTAGACCTTAGACTTGCACATTATCTTCTCATTGCTTGAGTGCAGTGACATATACTTCGTGCTCCAGACTCTGCAAATACTTTTCAGCGTATGATAGCAAAAGGATCTGCTGTATTTATATAGGGGTTTGCTTTTATCCTCTGATTTTCCATAACTCTGTTAACCTAATGTGTCTTTTCCATTGAATCCTTTTTAAGATGCTCTGAACTATCAAAGACAATTCTACATCCTGTAGAATCCACTTGATCATAGTGCTGATGCTTTCATTTCTCCGTACTAATATTCTTGTAATACATTCTTTATACTACAGTAAGCTTGTTTCAGAGGGATGATGGGTAAGATTTTGAATGAACAATTTGACATATCTTTGAGTTTAAAATAGCAGAAAAAATAAAATACTATTTCAATGAGGTTAACATGATCTCACAATTTTCGTTATAATAATTTCATAATTCAGACTGACTAACATCTGGGGTAAAATGCAATAATTCTCTTCTTATTATTTATAAGTTATGTATTATAAATTTGTTTTCAGTGTGATGCTTGGACCTGTAATTGAATCCCAAAGGGAAGTGTAGCTATACATGGATGTTTTTAAAGATTCACTGTTTATGGTTTCCTGCCTTTTCTAATTTTGGGAGCACTAAAATCCAGATCGTAACTCTGCCTCTGGAAAGCAGTCACGTAACGGCTTTAGTTGGTAACCCCAAATCATTACTCTCTACCTTTTTATGATATTTTTAGGTCTATGTTTGTAAAGATTACTTTCAAGGTATTAATGTACAGGGATTTTTAAGATTTTTGATTGAAAAATGTTTAATTCAGGAATTCTGTATGGTTCATTGCATCCAGAACAAGAGAAGAAATATGTAACTCAGTTCTTTCCTGAATCATATGTCTGTAAACGTCTGAGATAGACAGAAATGTCTGTCTTCTATCTGGAGTAGTGCACGTACAGATTATGAGCTACTGTCTGCATTTTCATTTATTGTGAGTCTTATCAAGTGTAGGAGGATATGAAACATCTGTCAGAAGCAATCTTATCTGTATTTTCCCTACTTAGTTTCTTAATTTTGCTTTTATTTTTCCTGTCAGACCAGAATGTGTTTGAGCAATCCATAGTAGGTAGGATTTGGAATTAGCAGAGTCCTCATGAGTTCAGAATACCTCAAGGAACCTCTGTGTTTTGCTTCAAATCAAACATTGTACACACGAATTAACAAGACTTCTGGAATGCTTTTTGGTTAGGAGCTGTATGGGAAGTATTGAGTCATGGCCTGAACCACTGATTGATCACCTGAGGCAAGGACTGAGTCAGCTGTGGGAACACAGGTGAAAGCAATTCAGCTGTGTTACTGAAAAGGGTGGAGCCTGGCTCCATCTCTCCTAAACCCCATTTCAGGGTTGGCTGCTACTGGGGAGGATCTCTTTCTGAAGATCCCTCCTTTTAGAGTTTTCTACTGTGAGCCTAAGACACAGGTGAGCATTTCATTTTTGGTTGTCTATTTCCACCATGTTAATCTTCCTAACTATAAACCTGTAAAATATCATCCTAACCACGCCACTTTTCTAACTGCACATTTGCTAATTGTACAGGAGTCTTTTTTTGACTGGGGTGCCCCTTTGCATAGACTGGAATTATTCTTCATTTCTTTTACTATAGCTGCTCCATTTTTTTTTTTTTTTTTTGTTTTAATATTTATGTATAATTTCTGTAACTGCATTATTTCATGTTCTGTGTAGTAACTGATTCTGTAGATTTGTACAATTGAAAATTATGTTACAAGAAAAATTGTGAAACTGGCCTTTGAGATTTAGTTTGCATGAAGCAGAATAAAGCTCTTATTTTATCGAATTCTGTTTTTTATTTTTCTGTTTTTTGAAAAACTAATTTATCAGTTGAGAGAGGTATAATATCAAAGAAAGGATTTCAAAAATTGTTATGGACCTATTTGTCTGGTGCTATGGTGATGCTGTGATTTGAAATAAAACTGTTGTGAAAGTACTACTTCATAGATATTTCCCAAAGAGCATGCAAGGAGTTGTGGTGTTGCTTTTATTTTATTTTATTTTATTTTATTTTATTTTATTTTATTTTATT